AGGGGCGTTACATTTCCGACGAGTGCTTGCGGTGTTCGGCCAATCACAATGCACTGGGTCAGCTGGCCAATCAGAGCAGACTGCGCTTTTCGGAAGGAGGGACTTTGTAGAAAATGAAGCGTTTGAGAGAGGCAGGGCATAGAGGACCTACAATAATGTACAGTATTTGAAAAATAATGTGTTTTTTGAACATTAAAGCATGTCAACATATTCTGTTACACCAAATACACAAAATAATGATCTTTAAAAAAGCATCATATGACCCCTTTAAGATTGCAGTATACATAAGTCAATCATGATTAAGCATCATACATAGTTAGACTGATGAGATTCTTTAATAACTCACCAAATCCTTATCTACTAGATCGATGAGCTTTCCACTGGGAACAAAGGCGTCTGCTAGATCTCTGATAGCCTGAATCATGCTCACCATCTAAAGGCAAAGCACATGAGCTCTTGAGTAATGTTCACCGAGAGCTGCTCAAGATCATCTGGTTTTAGTTTTGTGGAATTCAAGGATTTCACTTGCATTTCAGTTCACAGTTCACATAAAAATTCACCAATACATAAACTAGACTTCTAATAATCAAGTGAATAGTCTGTCACGGCAAAACAACTTGCAGTTCTTTTGTTGCTAGAAGTACATTCATAGACAGAGCATTGAACCAGTATAATGATATAAACTCACATCGTTCTTTTTGTCTGTAATGACATCTGTCCATCTTTTGCTTGGTGGTAAATCCAGATTAACAGTATACCAGAACACATCCCCTTTAAATCTAAAAGATCCAGAGATTATACACATGTTCTTATTCTCTCCCTTCAATGTGAATTACAAATTCTAAATTACATTTTAAATCATTCATATTAAGAGAAAATGAAGTTTTCGTAGATTTATAGATGAACTATGATGAAAACACTTTAAAAGATTATTTTTTTCTTTAAATTGGTCCAAAAAATAAAAAATAAAATACATTTTTAAATAAACCTTTTTGCACTAAAAAATTACATTGGATACTGTAATATAAATGTTATGGTAATAATATAACATTATAATATAATATATACATGATACTATAATATACATCTTTTGCAATTGCATAACAATGAAACATTGCCGCTCTGTTGTTACAAAACACCTGACTTTGTTTAAAAATTATACAGTTTTCTTATTAACATCATCTTTGATCAATAAGCTGTTCAAATAAAAACATTTGGAAATATCGCGATTAATATTTTAAAATTATTTTTACATAACCGTTTCTCTCCTGTGATACGGTTTGCCTTTTCACCTGTTGTACATGTAATTATTGTACAGATTTTAATTTTTGGTCTCTGACAGCAGTTTTTACAGGTTGTATAATTAATAATTTCAGTTGTCATACTCACGTTGGGCCGTTTGGAGGATACATGCCACTTCGGCACTCTTCTGTGTACTGAAATGTGAACATTAGTCATTTAATTCAGTAAACTGGAGTTGTGCTGGTTATTCAGTTAAGCTTTTCTATGCCAACAGCACTGGTGATGATTTAGGTTATAAAACATCGCATTGACGTATAAACAAACTACTGCAGTCCTGTCATAACTTAAGTTGATACGATGATAATAGTAACCCTGTTGAAAAAAACAGCATATGCTGGTTAGGTATGTTTTAACCAGCATATGCTGTTTTTTTTCAACAGGGAAAGAAGCATTTGTTTTCATAAATAACAATACAAACTCTAGTTTGTGACTTACCGGTGGGACATATTGCGCAGACAAGCACATAAACACAAAAGAAAGAATAAAACAGCAGAGGTTTAATTTGAGGATCATGATGAGACGAGCGCAGAAGCGGCAGTGAACGCGGAAGTACGCTACCGATGATAGTCGTGACGGTTCATGATCTGCGCAAACCCACGAGACACCGAGGGAGTTACCATAACAATGAGTTACAGAATAAAAGACCACTTCACACTTTCTGTCTTTGGGTTTGTCCCGGTTTTATTTTACTAAGCTGTAACATAATTCGTTCCTACATCATCTTTTTTATTATTATTATTAAATAGGCTTGTAAGGAGAAATAACAGCCGCAGAACAAGAATGCAGTTTTACCAGAGCAGACCGATAAACAAACAGGCGACTGTATCGCGCCATCTAACGGCTGTAGAGGGAAGTGCAACAACAAGCATATAGTTTTAAGTAGTTTTTAATCACACAAAGTGCGCAAATGTGCTCATATGAGACATTTAGAAAAGTAGTAAAAAGTCTACGACATTACATTTAACTATCTTATATCTTAGATATATTATTTCACATGTAACTGCAATGACATTGCAGTGGAAGTACAAAATCATTTTACGTGTAAATCTCAAAGCGTTATCAACTGCACAGAGTTAATATTCATTATTCAATATTCATTTTATCTTCAAATGTGGCTCGACATTAATCATATTCTCACATAAATATTAAAACCCCACAAAATGACCCCACATCAACACTAATTGACTTCAGTCAGAAACATTAAGGAACCACGTTTTCCATAGATTAATCGTTCTTTTCTTTGTGTGCAACAGAAAATTGGATAACAATAATGCAATTGAGATTTTGAGTTTACAATCCATTTAATTTGGGAAATCAATCAAATGTACAATCCAATATTAAACAAATGACTGTAACAATATAATTGATAGGCTATTTAAAAACAACAAAAGATTTTCTTGTGAAAAGTTACTAGGTTTATTATAAAAAAAAGGCAGAGATTCCATGACTATGTAAAATTATAATGGTGAGGAAGGAAAAAAAACACTTCTGGTTTCACTTGCAGTATCTGTCAGCCTTCATCTTGGCTCTCCTAAAAAAGAAACAAAAAACATGATTTCTTATAAACATATGATAATACATCACTTACCACTGTAAAAGTAGAAATATTTTCATATTCACGATGTTTCAAACACCATCTTGTATGATAAATCACCCAATAGGGTATATCAACATAATCTGACACCTTTTCCTCCATCTCAGGATGATCAGCTAAATTAGCCGGCTACAGTCATTTATTATTCAGTATGTCCCAGTATGAGGTTTTTCCTCCTGAAGTCAGACGTCTCACCTGTCCAGCAGGGCCTCATGGAATTTTCCTTCTGTTCTGGCTTTTTTCAGCGTGCCGCTGTCTTCCTCATTCACCCTCAGCTTCCGATCCTGAAAACTTTGGAACTTCTTCCTGTAGGCAAACATTCACATAAACATTTACTTCACTGTATGCTCAATAAACAGCACAGCTTCTGTATCTTACTGCAGGTAATAAATGCAAGCACTCACACGTAGTTGACCTCACAGTTCTTGACATCACCTCTGTCTTCATCTGCAATATCGTCTTTTCTCTTCACCTCTCTTTCTGTGCATGAACGGATCTGTGGGCAACAGATAAGCATGAAAAATATTGTTTACAGTCTTCATTCCAGAAAAAAAAGGTGTAATTTGTTTTTATAATTTGACAGCAGATAGACTTGTGTTCAGATAATATATATTGTGCACTGCAGTGGCCAAATCTGGCCACTCACTGAATTATTTCTCAAATGTTTGTCGAGCTTTTAGGGGCAAAGATATGGATGTCTAAAAAAAAGTCTTGAATCATTTCCTTCGGACAACAACAAAAAAATTCCCACTTAAGCAATTCATCTTGGTGTGGACTGTGAGTTCAGGAGGGATTCACCTTGATTATCTCCTCCTCTCCCGCTGTCTTGTTTTTGGCCACTATGTCTCCGCTCTCACTGTACGAGATGAAACAACTGTTTGCAGCAAGTAAGGCCATTTTACCCTATGGCAACAAAAATAAAAAGAAATGGTAAAAACTGAATTCAAAACTTTTCAGCCTAATGTACCAGAGTTATTCACATTCATACAAACTGAAGTATTTTCATTGTGACTGGTGAATTGATTTGATTGGCAGATTCACTCACATCCTGAAACACTGGTTCCCACTGCTCTCTGGAGCCGATGGCATCTGATCGACCAACCACAACACCCTCTGAGTTTATACCTAAATACTTCCCATAGCCTGACTTCAGCGCTATCCTACACACCAGCAAAACAAATAAGAAAAAAAATTGTCACATGATCAAAATAACTTAATTAGCTACAGAACATTACAAGGTGCTTATGCATTTAAAGGTGCTGCTAAGCAGCTGCAGCCAGTTTGCTACATTTTACTGAACACTTGAACACTGATATCCCATCACTACTCACGACACCTAGTTGTACAGGTGCATCTCAATAAATTAGAATGTCGTTGAAAAGTTCATTTATTTCAGTAATTCAACTCAAATTGTGAAGCTCGTGTATTAAATAAATTCAATGCACACAGACTGAAGTAGTTTAAGTCTTTGGTTCTTTTAATTGTGATTTATTTGTGGCGTTTGACTTCATTGAATAAACATGAGCACAGCACGTTTTAAAATCAAAACTTGTCGCGGGTGTTTTATATGAATGTATCTCTAAAGGGAAAGCATTATAGAAATGAATACTTTTATTTAGCAAGGATGATTTAAATTGATCAAAAGTGATGATAAAGACATTTATAATGTTACAAAAGATTTCTATTTCAGATAAATTCTGCTCTTCTGAACTTTCTATTCATCAAAGAAACATGAAAAAATTATACTCAGCTGTTTTCAACATAATAATAAATTATTTTTGAGCAGCAAATCAGAATATTAGAATGATTTCTGAAGGATCATGCGACTGGAGTAATGATGCTAAAAATATAGCTTTGAAATCACAGGAATAAATTACATTTTAAAATATTTTCAAATAGAAAACCGTTATTTTAAATAGTAAATGTATTTCAAAATGTTACGGTTTTTGCTGTATTTTGGATAAAAAAAATGCAGGATTGAAAGAATTTCACATTTCTTGTTTGAATGAAGGCTAAATACAAATAAAAGGTGAACATTCATTTATTTGTGCTGGGTTTTTTTTCCTTTTTTTTCTAAAATATTATATGGTTTTATATGAGGTGTCAGAGACTTGGCAAATTCATTTTTCATAAGTTTGTATGCACAGACATCTGTTGTGGCGTTCTTGGCAGTTTTTACAAGGCTTTTGTTCATATCGATATCGGAATTATATCGTATCGACTGAAATTAAGAAATATATCGTGATGTAAATGTTTGCCATATCGTCCAGCCCTACGTTGTCTGTGATTCAGGAGTGGCTTAACAAGAGGAATACGACAACTGTAGCCAAATTCCTTGACACGTCTGTGTGTGGTGGCTCTTGTGGTCATGATCTTTACCTGGAGTCTGAGACTCTGATGGCAGTGAACTGCTCTGGAGGATCTGGGCCTTCATCGTCTGCAAACACAAAACATACATATTTTAAAACTTGAAGAGTTAATTTGCAAAAACCAATAAACGCCACTTAAAAAAAAAATTAGCTGATTGCCATGCATTATTCTCCACATATAGCGCGATCTGAACCCTAAACATGTTTTGTCAAAAAGCCGATTTTGTCCACTTTCAAGGCATCGCGAGTTCACGTTTTACTGCAGTGCAGAAGCCGACAAGCGCCCTTGCTGTTTTTGAACAGAAGCCGATAAGTCCATTTTAGCGAATCAGCGCGCTGTATTCAGGTCAGGTGACAAGGCTACTTTCACTTTGAAAAGACGTGCTAGCTGAGAGGAGTTTCGTCAAAGCTGACTAAAAGTGATCGAGGATGGATAATTTTGACGAACTTGATGAACCTGTGATATCTTCTTCAGGGCGAAAAAGGAAAATAAAAGCTGAAACGTTTTCACGGAACCTTGCAAAAGCAGCGCGTTACAATCGTGAGGGAAAAGCTCCGTGTATTGTGTGTAATCACATCCATACAGTTTATGATCACAACAACAAATACGTTTGTCAGGCATCTACATTGTCATCTGAGGAGATTACCGTACAAAGATTAAACAAGTGTTTTTTAAACTCTAAAACATGAAATGTGGAGTTATCTGCTTTTGCCAAAAAAACGACTGTTGGAGTTATCTGCTTTTGCTATAAAACAAACTTTTAATATATAAAAAAAAACACTTTCAATGACCTTTAATTTTGTAAATTACCTGTATTTGTTTGTCATCATTACTTAATCAAAACAACCCAACTGCAGTTTGATTGATATTACTTGGAATTCGCAATAAAAAAAAAAACGTGATTTCTAAAAAAATAAAATAGAAATTGAGTTATTGTTTTTTTGCAAATGAACTCTTCACTTGTTTACACTACCATTCAAAACTCTGAAGTCAGTACGATTTTTTTTTTTATGTACTTTTTTTAACAGTCTTTTCCTATGCTTACCGAGGCTGCATTTAGTTGATATTTACAGTAAAAAAAAAAAAAAAGGCTAATTTCGTGGATTATTATTCCTGTATGCCAAGCTGAATTAATACTGAAGTTTCAGCATCATTACTCCAATCTTCATGATCATTCTAAAATCATTCTAAAATGCTGATTTAATGAAACATTTCTTATTGTTATCAATGTTGAAAACAGTTGATTTCTAGTTTTGTGGAAATTGTGATACATTTTTCAGGACACTTTATGAATAGAAAGGTCAAAATTACAGTATTTAGACATTATAAATGTCTTTAATGTCCATCTGGATTAACGTAAAAGCATCCTTGCTGAGTAAAAGTATGAATTTATTTCAGTATTTATTTCCTAAAATAAATAAATCTTACTGACCCCAAATGTTTGAATGGTAGTCTATATTTACTGTGTATAATTGCACTATTACTGGAGATGAATCTAGCATTTCCATTCCACAAAAGAATTCAGAGCTGCCACACATTTATAACTGAATAATTTCCACATAATCAAAGTTTTCATGGCTGAACATTTATAAGAATATGAAACAATGCTGGAAAGTGCTGCTATAAGAAAATCAAATACAGAGAACAAAGTCTTGTAACTCAACTCATTATACTGCCTGAAGTCCTGAAGTATTTTAACAGTTATTTGTTTTTCAACCATGAATGACTGAACAAAAGAAAGAGTAATGCTGAAAGCTGATATTCTATTCTATCTGCTCCGCGGGCATGATAAACTCATGAATTAGCTAAGATATTGAATTCTGCAAGAGCCTTCAAATGATATGCTCAAAAAGTTACAGAGTAGCGTGTGTGTGTCCATGTTTTTCGCCTGGAGAGGTGTGGGAATCATACAGATGCACTGGTCATGAATTGGGTTAAACAGTTACAGTCTTTCATTTAGTAATTTCAGGTCTCAACCACTAAATTAAATTGATTTTAGAGAGCGTGCACAAATTTCATGGTGCTTCCAGAGTGATGTAGAGACCGATCCTTACAGCCAGCGGTCAGTGAAAAGCAGAAAATGAGGCTGGAAAGAAAAACAATCGCAAACAACTCCTTCTGGTGACTGAAATATGAAATTGCTCTGTGCTTTGCATGAACGGCTGCGGTAATGGCGACTGACCAACCATAACATTATTCAGGTTTTTAAATCCCACACTGAGAGCAAAAGAGAAACAGCAGCACCTAGCCATCTCTACTTTCGAGACTTATTTGTTCTGCGCTATTAGAGGAACCTTTTCAATTTAAAAGACAATATAAAAACTGCATGGCTGAAAAAAATACAATGCGGTATAATTGCAGAGATTTGCCTGTTGCCAGAAAATACTGCAGATAGAACTTGTAAAGTGTATTTTAAAACATAGGCCTTAAGAATAAAGCATTTCATTTCCAATAAATGTTCTAGTTCATTTAAACTAACTCATCACTATATTAATGCACTTGCTCATCACAAACCGTGTCCACTAATGAGCCAAGGCCATCCTACACACACAACCATGGACATTTTAATGTAATTTAAACTTACTACTAACTTGCTCAACTAGCCAAAAACATTTTAAGGAAACATGAGTTTAAAAAAAACAGTAAGAAATATGATGCATACATGTGCTTAAAGGGGTCATATGATGCGATTTCAAGTTTTCCTTTCTCTTTCACCAAATACACAAAATAATGATCTTTAAAAAAAGCATCATATGACACCTTTAACTGATTTTGAATATGAATTTTTGAAACTACTTAAATATAAAGTAATTTGTTTAAAAATCATTTTAAAACATATGAAGCACTGGTCTAAAGAATATACTTTTAATTCTCAAAAAAAAAAAATTTTCTTCAGGGAATGGAGGTAATGCCACCCTGTTTATTATTTAAAAATGATTCAAAATAAGACAACAAGTAAGATATATCTATGAATCAATTAGAGCAAAGCGAAAAGATCTTTTTCGCCAACATAAACCGAGCTGCCTTGCAGCCACAACTTTCAGGAGTTTAATGAAGCAAACAGAATCAGCACCTTTATGTGGAGCACCTACAGTGAAGAGTCCAGTGTCCAGTGCATGGATGAAGGACTTTTTGTGCATCTCAATGGCCACTGTACCTGTGATCTCACCGAAACCCTTCACTGTCCACCATCCTCCTGAGGACACATTCACAAACACAGGCTCATATCATGCATCATAAACACTTCCAACAAAAATATAGCTATTAAGCAGATCATAGAGCATTTACAAAGAACTATCTATCTATCTGTCAATATATCATCTATCTGTCTGTCTATCTAACTGTCTATCTGTCTGTCTGTCTATCTATCTATATATATGTCTGTCTATATATCATCTATCTGTCTATCTATCTATCTGTCTGTCTGTCTGTATATCATCTGTCTATATATCATCTATCTATCTATCTGTCTGTCTGTATATCATCTATCTGTCTGTCTGTCTGTATATCATCTATCTGTCTATATATCATCTATCTATCTATCTATCTGTCTGTCTGTGTATATCATCTATCTATCTGTCTGTATATCATCTATCTGTCTGTCTGTGTATATCATCTATCTGTCTGTCTATCTATCTATCTATCTGTCTATATATCATCTATCTGTCTGTCTGTATATCATCTATCTGTCTGTCTGTCTATCTATCTATCTGTCTATATATCATCTATCTATCTATCTATCTGTCTATATATCATCTATCTGTCTATCTATCTGTCTGTCTATATATCATCTATCTGTCTATCTGTCTATATATCATCTATCTGTTTATCTATCTGTCTGTCTATATATCATCTATCTGTTTATCTATCTGTCTGTCTATATATCACAAAGTGACAAATCTATCTGTCTGTCTATATATCATCTATCTGTCTATCTATCTTTTATAACTCCATGGACAAAGTGACAACATACGTACCAACGATATCCAGCTTGTCTTCATCATCTCGTTTTCTCTTTTTGTCCTTGTTCTTTTTCTTCTTTCTGCACAATTTGGAAGTCGCAGGCCATAAATTATCGGAAATAATTCTGATATTATCATAACTGTTACATCAACTAGTACAGTAACTGTAAACATTAAGGGGAAACTATACATTTTCATAAACTTTTGTTCGAACGTAATACAGAATGAAAGCCTTACTTTTTATCGTTTAATCCTTTCAGGACCAGCTTGGTGGACTTGACGTGTGAGTACTCGGTCATGATCACACACGGTTAAAGCAACTGGATTAAAACGTTTTTTTTGTGGGATTATCATACGTTGTTATTCACGCGCGTTTTCCTGCAACAACAACGCTCGGTGTGTGTACGGTGGCCGAAAGGAGTCAAAGCACCGCACTGAAGACACGCGGCTGGGCTGAAGCGCGACACCCATCGGTCGGAGAAATATAAAAAGTGTGCTGGTGGCTTGAAAAATTGTTAATTGTGATTTCTCCAGAGCAGGGCTGTCCAAACTCGGTCCTGGAGGGCCGGTGTCCTGCATGGTTTAGCTCCAACTTGCCTCAACACACCTGACTGGAAGTTTCTATGCCTAGTAACGGACAGCCCTGCTCCAGAGCTTATTGTGGTTGTGTCCGAAATCACATTCTTTCTGAGGAGGTAGGCCTTCTTCTTTTGAATAAGTAATTACTTTGCAATCACAACTGTTAAAAATGTGTTATTTGCTTTTTTAAACACATTTTCGTACTTAAATAGTATGTGTGTGGTATTAACATTATCTGGATGTATTTGTACTATCTTTGTAATGTGACTTATAGCATCAGCTGCATCGCTTCACTGCCATTAACAGCTTTTCTCCCGAGTCCTCATGGGATAGAAAAGTGTCCTTTGGATGCACGCTTCAGAATTTCACTGGAAGTAGGAGGTGATCAAGGTTGAATGTGTTTTATGAATGCTATGAATTACAACATGCTACTCTTCTCACACCTGAGTATAGTATGGAAATATGCATATTCGCATGCAGCCTCAGTCGAGTGTACTTGACTTTCCATTTCCGGTGTGATGGATGAACAAAAAGTTTTACAACATTTTTAATTTATGAATCTATTTCTTGACTCAGTATTTTATTGGACTGCCAAATCTTAAGACATTTTACACAAAATTGAAAAAAATCTTAGCTAAATATCTGATGGTATTTTCTACTAAGAAAAAAGTACACACTTTTCTTTAGTATGCCATTTGTATCTCTTTAAATTTCTTACATCCTTAAGGTGAAGTGAAGTGGATCCTGCATATGAGAACCTGCAGACACATATACATATGTGAGAATAATTACTTGCTTGTGTGTGTGCCTATGTGACAAATGTGAACATACTGCAGAAGTGCAAAATCTGACATGATTTACCAAAACCTGCATTATATTTTGTAAAAACAGTACATGGGGGGTGCATTCCCCATGTTCCCAACATTTTGGCCTGTTTTGGGAAGGCAGCTTATAAATCTTACTTTTTTTTTTCAAATGTAAAAACACAAAAAGTGTTCTGGGAGGGTCTTTAGGGGTAGGGTTATGGTTAGAGGATATACAGTCACCATGTCTATGGTGAGTCCTCATAAAACACAGGTTGTGTGTGTGCAAGCTTGTGTTGCTCCTACCATGGTTTAAATCACAGGGTGTGTTAGAAAGGATAGGTTATTGCCAGATTGGTTATCAGACTGGAGAGAGAGAGTGAGGGAGTGTGTCCCCAGTCCAGGCCCTTTTCTCTCCAGACACAGCGTCTGCCATTAGTGAGCCACTATTTAAACCAAAATAGCTCTGAACATGGCAAAGCCCTCTTATTTAAAACCTCAGCAGACCACTGTAATAACGAAGCGCTGGATTACAAACACACGCACACGAGCTGAACTCTTCACGCACAGGAAGTTTTGACAGTCCAGGGGGCCGGGGCCCCAACATATGCTTGCTGTGTTAACAAATGCTATTGGCTGCTCGTCTTCGGACTGGCTGTTGATTGATTGGCCCTCTCCTGAGGACGAAGATGATGGCAGACAGTAAAGAGGTAAGTTTTCTTTCTAAATTCATACTTATATCCTATTAGCGCTAAGATTTTTATAATGGCATCTACATCGCTGTATAGGCTCCTCAGTTCCGACGGCAGCAGTGTGAGTAAACGCGATCATCCCTTCCTCTTTACTATTAGTTCAGCAGCAAATGTAACCAAGGATCTTAATGTGAATGATTATGTGAATGAAGACATTTGTAATTGCCATCCAGTTGTCATGCCAAAGTGTTTAAATACTGAAAAATGCTAAGAAAACAATTAGTGTGTGTGTATTAATTGAACGCTCATACTGTTTCGCAAAAGGTAAATACAAACATACTGTTACTCTTAAACACGTTCTCGTACGGTCTATTCATCAATATATAAAGCTATGAAGATGAGGGCAGGGTCAGCGCTGAGTGGGAGTGGACAGCGACCACCCAGATGCTTGTTTTGATCACGCAGGCGTGTGCACTGTCGGAAGGGCACTGTATTTAGCGTTACTGCAAAAATACAGTGCAATGGGCATAATTTCTTAATTTTGTCCAAAATAAGGGACACTTATGCATTGATACAGTGTTATTAAAAGACAAACTCTGCAGAAGAGCCCAGAATATGAACGCAACGCGCAAAGTTTTACGCTAAGCGTTTACCTCCCACTGTAAAAAAGTGGTAATGTGCAGTTATGTTAAAGAGTTATTTCTACCTGTGCTTACCCGTAAAAATTTCGTTTTGTTTGGTGTAATCTAATATATTTATAATGTTAACATTTTAAAAATAAAATTAATATAGATGTTACCACATGAAGCACATTTTTAGATTATCATTACGTTTAATGTGGCTTAAAACATTATTCAGTATTATTAGACCAAATTCAGTATAGCTACACCTTGATGATGCAAACTGTGTTTTTGTGCCCTGGTCCGCTGCTGCGCTTGTCTGACCTGTTTCAAATGGCAAACGCTTTAGCAGTTCAGTACTTTTCACCAGACCAAGCGATCAAGACATTTCTCCGGAACACAATGTTACAAGAAAGACTGTCGAGATCAGCTGTTCTGAGTACTGAGAATACCCGTGCCCGTGGAAGTCGTGGCCTAATGGTTAGAGAGTCGGACTCGTTGCGAGTTCGAGTCTCTGGTCCGGCAGGAATTGTAGGTGGGAATGTACAGCGCTCTCTCCCACCTTCAATACCACGACTGAGGTGCCCTTGAGCAAGGCACCGAACCCCCAACTGCTCCCCGGGCGCCGCAGCATAAATGGCTGTCCACTGCTCCGGGTGTGTGTTCACGGTGTGTGTGTGTTCACTGCTGTGTGTGTGCACTTAGCATGGGTTAAATGCAGAGCACTAATTCCTAGTATGGGTAACCATACTTGGCCACATGTCACGTCACTTATGTATATACACACAATCATATTTTTTACGTGTGAGCTGTCACTGTGCGTATACTGCTTGCGCGCTGTGTTCATGTGTTCATGCGCTTGCGCTGTTTTGTCGAACTTTTAATGCCATACAAATCAGTTACACAGGGACAGTCAACTGAGGATCACACTCTGCTAATGACGATCATTAAAGGGTGGCCAGTTGAAGAACTGGTCAGAGCTTGCAATAAATCATAGTGTGACACTGCCAGGAAGTAAAATAAACAAGACAGCTACATTCTGGGCAGACTTTAAATGCAAAGAGGTGAATGAGTTGAACAGGGTGACTGAAGGAACAGTGAAGAGAGCTTGCATGTGGTAGACTAGGCATAAGAACCCTTAACTGGTTCCAGATATCCCAGACAGACACTGATACACACATAAATAGAAAACAACCTGCTAAAAAGTAAATGGATGCCAACATTATTTTCTTTCTAAGATGGTGGCTTACATTAAATGCAAAATATTATGCATATCAGCCATATCAGATTATAATCTTCTAAAAGACTTGCAGCAGACACGCTTAATCATAAGTCATAAGACTAAAGCAGCAGGACGGGCTGCTGCGGTGACGGGATTGTTTAATGAGATGTTTGTAATTGTATATGTTTGTCGGTGTCTTTCTCTTGTCCTTGTTGAAAGGCTTTTTGTCTCCATGTTCGGCCTGCCCCATTACCTCCGCCTCTCAAGTGGAATAGAAAATTTATCATCCTTAGCAAGCATCAATGTGGTATGAGACACAAAGCAACTGGGGATGGCGAGGAGGAAGAGCGAGGGAAAGATAGCTTAATATATAGTTTAATGAGCTTAGTCTTTCATTTCCTCCCATGGTGCCAGTCATCAGTCAAGTGGTTGGCTATAGATAGTGACTGGTCTGACTTTCAAAGTAATATAAGGCATGATACAGTGCCAACTGTAACAGAATGGCTGACAGTGTATCATTGGAAACAAGTATAAGCTTATAAATAGTAATTATGTAAGTCAGACCAACTCTTCATAGACTTTTTCCTTCCTTTATATATATATATATATATATATGTGTGTGTGTGTGTGTGTGTGTGTGTGTGTTTTTAATTAATTAAAAATTTCTATTAAAATATAAGATATTGTTCCTGTTTGCTGAGTTTCACAGCTCACTAATGAAAGGTCATGTCATAATTTTCTTGCTGCTCCAGAGTGATTAGTCACATGATGTTTTATGGCTCATGTGATTGGCTCAAAACAACTCTGCCGTATAACTGAGTGCCCACGAGCAAACACGACAGATTTCATATCACATACTTCTGGGATTGGGGGGTGATTGATGAACTTCATAGCTGAATGAATTCAGATGAGCCAAACGCAATCAAACACACATAAATATGCCAATGTTAGTGAGAAAATGCATTTAATCGTTGGCATGAATGTCTATTCTGAGGCCAACTGTTATTTTTAGCCAGAATAATCAAAAGCAACTAATATCACAGATTTTCAGTTTGGAAGCTGCTTCCAAATCACAACTAAAAACAAAAATTAAGATCAAAACGTGACTTGTTTTAGAGCCAGCGCATGCTGTTTCTCGCTCTCGCCAGGGAAACCATTAGGGACTGAGCCAAATTTAATTTGGTGACTGCAATGAATTTAGCTGAACAATGTGTTTTTCCAGAATGGAAGCAAATTAAAGAAATTTGTATTTGAAACATCCCCACTCTAATCTTCACATGCAATTTGGTGGTACAGCACATCATGCAATTTAATCTAATTTAATTTGGAAATAATAATAAGAAAAAACAAGAAAAACAGTTAATTAAGTAATAGATCATTCGATGTTTATAGTAATAAATAGATTAGTTATAGTAATAGATCATTTAAACAAAAGTCTTAATTTGGAGGGGGTTCTCATCAGTTTTTATATATGCAAATAATCTGATTAATAAATCAGCATATTGTGTCATTAATTTGATTACAAATATTATTATTTTTTACATTTAAGTTTATATGTATTTTTTCAGAGATTTAAGGTTGACCATGCCTTGCAACTTCACATATGCACCTTGCTTCTTTCTTTATATGTCTCAATTTTTTTTACTGTT